AGAGGGGTCTCCTCCGCTGCTGTACTGGTTTGGCCGAAGGGTCCACCGCAAGGCGGTGGGTGATGACCCTCCGGTCAATTCCTGGCATGTCTTCCGGCCCCCATGCAAAAACAATGGAGTAGGCGCGGAGGGCTTCGATGATGCCAGTCTTCAGGTCTTCGGGGAGCTTGGCTCCAATCTTCAAGACTCTCTCCGGCTTGGCCGGATCGAGTATCAAGTCTTCAGTCTCCTCGGCAGGTTCAGCCCTCGGCCTGCCTTCTTCTTCCTCCAAGGCTTTGGTGGTGATTGTGTCAACACGAAATTCAGTTTTACTAACCTTCCTGGTGAGTTGGAGGTAGCAGGCCCTGGAGAGCTTCTGATTCCCCCTCGAGTAACCGATGCCGGTAGGCGTGGGGAATTTGAGGCAGAGGTGCCTCATGGAGATGACGGCCTCTAGGTCCTCGAGGGCGGGCCGGCCGAGGATGATGTTGTGAGCGCAGTCGAGGTTGACGACGACAAATTCCACTTCGAGCTTGGCTCTATGGGATCCGTCGCCGAATTCGACCATGAGGGTGATGAGGCCCTCGGCGTCGATGCTGTCTCCCGTAAATCCGGAGAGGGGGGTGTTGATGTGCCGAAGGGACCCCCTGTCGAGTCCCAACTCTTGAAAAGTGCTGAGATACATGACGTTGACAGAACTCCCCGTGTTGACGTAAGTCCGGAGGATGATGGCGTCATTGATCTCAGTGCGGATGACGAGGGCATCTCTATGCGGCAGAGATCCCGAGGGGAGGTCCGTATCTGTGAAGAAGATGGGATCCGCTTTCGGCCTTTTTGTTGGGGGTATGTGATTGACCTCCCCAATGTAAAGGGACTGTGCCCACTTCTTCCTTTGGCTTGTTGAATCGCCTCCGGTGTTGCCGCCGTTGATCATATGTACATGGCGCTTGTATTGTTGATGGGAGCCTTCTCCCTCGTCCTCGAGGCCCCCAATTTCACGTTTCTTCCCATGCGGGTTTCCCAAGGGAATGGTGTTGGGGTTCACCCACTTGTTTGCCTTCGGCGGAGGGCCTTAATGATGAGGGGGACCCTGGGGCGGAGGGCCCCTGATAAATTGAGACAAGTGGCCCGCCTGTATCAGCCTCTCAATGGCGTTCTTCAGCTGATGGCAGTCGTCGGTTTTGTGTCCATGGTGGCGGTGGAAGCGGCAGTAGGGCTCATCAGGATCGATGGCATAAATCTCGAGGGGTGTACGGGAGTCTCGCTCAACGAGCCCCTACTCTTCTGCATGATCAAGAATGACGCTGACGGGATGCGTCAAGGGAGTGCGTGGGTGCTCAAGGAGGACGGGTTGCGCCCATGCCTTCGGATTGTTTTTGTAACCGCCCCCGGTTCTGGCTTGGCCACCTCGGGGGCGATCATTATATTGGGCCTCGCGGTTGGCCGGAGGGGGAGGCCCTCCGGGTCGATTCCTGCCTTCATTCTTCTGAGAAGGATCCGTGTTGCGGCGGTCCTTCTCGATCTCTTCCGCTTCGGCGTATCGGTCCCCCCGCTGAAGGGCTTTCGTATAATCGCGGGGGGGATCAGTGATGAGGCTCCTGGAGAAGTTACCGTTGCAGAGGACGGTGTGGAAGAGGGCCATTAGCGTCCTGTCATCGGCACCCTCGACCTCGAGGGAGGCTTGCCTCCAGCGCTCCAGGAAACTCCGAAGGGTTTCCTCCTTCTGTTGTCTGACGTTCAGAAGGTGGGAGAAGTGTTTCTTTGAGCGGTGCCTCCCGGCAAATTGCGTAAGGAAGCGGTGGGCAAGTTCTTGCCAAGAATCAATGCTGCCTTCGGGCAACCGGTTGAACCACTCATATGCGGGTCCCTCCAAGGTGGAAAGGAACCAACGGCATAAGTATTCATCCGAGGCCCCCATCATCATCATGCTATTTTGATAGCGGTTATAGTGTTCTTGGGGGTCTGTCTTCCCCTCATACGGCTTTATAGGTTGCCCCCGATATTTGTGGGGGATTTTGGCCGCCAGCACCCTCGGGGTGAAAGGCGTCCTAGTGCGGAGCTGAATGAGGGGCTCGCCTGAGCCTTCGGCAAGCTTACGCTTCATTTCCTCCACTTGCGCCCGGAGGTCAGCGTACTCTGGATCTGGCCTCGCTGTGGAAGCCGTCGGGGGCGCCTGACGGTTCTCCTCGAGTTGACGGAGGAGGGCTTCAATGATCTCGTCCTTGGGATCCTTCGGGGCAACCCCTTGGGAGTTGGCCCGGAAGGATTGCGCCTGATTGATTTGGTGCCTGGCGTCATCGGCATGGAGGAGGGCTTTGCCTTTGCTCCGGGGTGGAGGCACGCCCTCGGCCCCCGAAGCGGAGGCACCACTCTCCTGGGGTCTGCTGAATTCTTGCTTGCCGAGGCGGTCTTGGACCCCTCGTCGTCCGGGAGCTCCCCCAAGCCTCTCAAGTGCAGAGGTCTGGGGTTTCTCCCTCATCATGGGGCGCTTATCCCTGGATTGAGCCTCCTGGGAGGCGGTATCCTGTGCTATGACCCCCTCGGCATTGCCAACCCCCGGGGGAGGGTTGTTGAACAAAGGAGGGAGTGGTGGCAGGTTGATAACATTCCCTCCAGCATAGGGCTGAAGGGGTGCCTGAGAGGCGAGGGCTCCAGAATTGAGAGCCATGTTTTGAACAAAGGCCGCAAAGGCAGCCTGAAGATCGATGGCCGAGGCCGGAGGGGGAACTTGGTTCTCACTCCGATCCCTCCTTCGATTATCAAGGCCAATGCGGGCATCAGGGGCATTCTTCTGTAGCTGCTGACGGAGGTCAGCAGTAGCCTGCTCCAATTCGAGAATGATTCCGCCCTCGGGCACTAAGAGCCTGTTAGAGGTCTCAGCCCCGTTGGTTTCGCCGGGGGCTACGTGGTTCTCCTCAAGGGTTTTGGATTGGGCACGAGTGGTTCTTCCCATTTTTGGTGAGTGTTTCGTATTTGGTAGAGGGGGAGGGTTTCTTACTTGATAGTTCAGACCTCTCAACGAGAGCACCAAATGATGGATAATCTATCCGGGGGGTATCCTATCCGAGGGGTTATTGCGGGAATAACTAGAGAGAAGTCAGAGCAAAATAGGAGGAGAGAGAGTCGATTTATTAAATGAACTCAGCGTGTGGAAGTTGGATGTGGATCCTTTACAATGAGAAATGGGCTGCTATTTATAGCAGCAATAAATGCGATGAGAGTACACGTGTCAGTAATCCAACGGCCGAGGGGTCACATCAGCCGGTTGGCACCGGCACTGGTACGTCCACCGCATTGAATGCGGCTGGCGGATGTGACGTGGCATTAAATGCGGTGGTTGGCTATCTCTAAAAGGAATCTTCGATGATTGAGCATGCTTGGCCGAAGGCTCCTTGTGTAGCCGAGGGCTCCATGTGCTCAAGGACCCCTGTGTAGCCGGAGGCCTCGTGTGACCGAGGGCTTGGTTCAGCCGAAGGCTTCCCCGATGCCGAGGGCTTGATAGCGCCGAAGGTTCATGTTTTTCGCCCTTTTCTTCCAGTAGCTTCGTACGCCAGAGAAAGCTATCCTGTGAGTTTTGGAGCCTTCGGCCAAGGAGGCCGAAGGCACCCCAGTGTGTATTCCGGGCTACTATGAGGCTTGGGGCGATGCATTTGGGCCTGAGTTGTTCTCTGGTCCCAATGGACTTGTGTAGGAGAAGTAGGAGTCTATGGGCCGGGGGTTCCTGGGCCATATACTCCATCACCATGCAAAGCGTTTTTTCTCATCCCTTTAATATGCACTATTTTGTTTTTAGTTCAACTCTAATTTTCCAGGTCGCCCCCGGTCCGGTTTTAACAACACAGTCCGAAACTAATCTACTTAGAAAAAAGTTATCGCCGGTTGCGTAAAATCTACTAAATTCATTTTAAGTTATCTTCTTATAATATTTAGGCTATTATGAGAGTTAAAACAACGTAAAATCAAGTATTCACATTTTAAAATATACTCCGTATATTAACAACATTCTAAAAATAAAATAGAATACATTTGAACAACATGACAATGAATTACTGGAAACGTAATATGTTAGTTGAGGTTGACTTGTTGTCAAACGGTGAACGACTAGAAAAACAATATAAATTTCAGGGATGAAAACAAAAAATAAAAGGATTTCGAGTCCATAATTGCAGGGATGTATCTAAAAAGACGGTTCACTGAATTGGAAGATCAAGAGAAGGATTTGGAGTCCAAAAATGTTAGAGATTTTTGAAAAGCATGAAGTAGTTATTTTAACTAAAGGGAAAATGCTATTTCTATTGCTCATGACAAGTTTCTTAAGAGGGCATTGATTGTCCCTAATCTTGACAGTCATCATTTTAAAAAGATTACCCTAGTTAACATTCTGTCTTGGGCTATTTGATTTCATATTGCATTTTAAAAAACTTCAATTACGTAGTACTTAATTTCCTAAAGGGCATAGCAAGTGGACAATACGGTTTTCTCCTAAAGGGCCCAATTTATGTACTACGACAACCTCAATCGTTGAATAAGTTTCTCGTTAAAAAATGTCTCAGTTATTTGATACAATAATTAAATAAGGTATTTCGAGTATATAATGAGAAGTAGTTTTGATAGGTATTTTTTTTTGTGATTTGTCACAAAAATGAGGATATCATTTTTAACATATGATTAATTTTTCATTTAAAAGTGTTAATTATTAATATTAATATTTGAATAATACTACCTCCGTTCCCCTAAGTTTGGGACAAAGGGGTTTGATGTGGTTTTTAAGAAAAAGTAGAATTGCGTGGTTGGTATTGAACTGATAAAGTATGAACAAAGTAAGAATAAATTCTAACCACTCAAATATTACCTAATATGGTATGTGACAAACTTAATGGGACGAACGAAAAAGATAAAACGGGACAAAGTCAGGGGACGGTGAGAGTATATATTTAAAAAATAATTTCGTACGATAAAGTTTGATTCAAAATCTCGCACATATATTCATCATATCAGTGTTAAACACAAACTCATATACCGAAACTTGACCTACAAATTGATCGGACAAAGCCAAACCTCCGGAGACTTACGAAGCAACCGCTCAACCTAAACCTAGAACCTTCATTCGACAGCTATAAATAGATATACACATATGAAATTTTCTAACACCTCGTTCTACCCTAAAACCCATCTTAAACATTCTCTCCGTGAGAGAGGAATTGAAGAAAACGAGAGCGAAAGAAGGAGAAACGATCTTGAGACGGGAGAGAAAAAGCTCGCCGGAGTTTCGCCGGGCTAATCTTCACGCCGGAAAACAGAAGAGGAAAATGGCTGCCGTTTCCTGCCAGTTCACTGTTGACCTACGTCGTCCAGGTAACGATCTCTCCGGCCAAGGCCTGCGTTTTTATTTCGTGTGGAAGACGATCGACCAAGCTTGTCTGTTGTCCTTCCCTTTACTGATTTGGGTTGGTGGGGCGGTTATTTGGGCTGGAGTTTTAGAGCTACCAGGCTGATTTTCTTAACACTATTGGGCTCAGCGGATTATAACACTATTGGACTGGTTGTTGAACATTAATATAATCAATGAGAGTAATTTTAGTAAGACATCATACCGTAGTATATACCAAGAATAATGAATAATAATAATAATAATAACAATAATAAAAGTTTGTATTTCAAATATATCAATTTTGAGTGGAGAATTTGGGGGTGTTATATGAACCATCGTCCCCCTCACGATATGCACAAGAAGTATTTATAGGCATAAAATTAGACTACAACCCTAGTTAGCCCACTTGTGCGTTGCACGGGACTAAAGTAGTTACATATGAATTTAGATAAATTATGTAAGAAGTAAGAAAAAATTGATAGTGAATCAATTAATTGAAAACGTAAGTTAAAATAAGATGTCATGTTTAATATGAAATTAAAAATTAATGCTCAAAATTAAATATTAATCACGATATCGTAAATAGGTGTGCATATTTGTGCACAGAATTGTCAAAAAATTACTCCCTCCGTCCCATTAGAAGGTTTCCGTGAACGGTTTACGATGCTTGACTGACGATAAAACAATTTAATACCTGTGCACACTCCGATTATTTTAGTAAATAAAATTTACATATTCAGAAACTACATTAGAACCGCTACAAAGCCTGAGAAAAAAATGTAAATTTGATCAAAATTTGATATATAAAGTAAAAGATTAAAAATGATTTAAGTTGACTATGGGAAGAGTGGACGGGAACCTTCTAATGGGACGGAGGTAGTATAAGTTATAATAAACTTCTTGGTTAACAAGTTCAATGCATACTTTGTTAGTTGTCCGTCTTCATCAAATATGACAAACTTCAACCCAGATGGACTTGTTACTCTCAATACCGCCACGTACAACTGTGAATTGTCCATGCGTAAAAACAGGCCGTTGGAGGAAGTTGCCTACCTTTTCCAATGATTGTCCCTGACTCTTATTAATGGTCGTTGCATAGCTAACCATTAAACGAAACTGTCTGCACTGAAAAGTGAAAGGGAGTCTAAACGTCTGATGGTGTTAAACTAAGTCGAGGAATAGGAAACTTTTCACCAGCATTTTTTTTTCTGTCCATCATCTGAGTCTCGATAATATGATCTCCAAGTTTAGTAACCAAAAGGCGTGTGTCATTGCACAATCCAAATGAATTATCTATATTCCTCATAAGCATCACATGAACCCTCACTTTTAGCTTTAAGTAATGACTCGGCAAACCTGAACATTTAATGCTATTTAGAAATTCAAGAGAATTTATCTCAAGTTAGATATCATCATCTGAGCTAGGTGAAGAAGCTCAATCTGAGCTTAGATAAATTTTAAACTCCGTCTATCTGACTCAACATGTAATCGTTCATTTTATCAACCTCACCAATGGTCGGAGCAAGAATATCCCTGGAATAAAAATAAGAATTCGGATCACTCTGAGTCAAGAAGTCGGGATAAATAGCTTGAACAATAGATTAAACATGATCGGACGTCATTGGAGCAATCATATCGTCCGGTATTTCAATGAATGATTCTCAATCCCGATTTTCTGCAAAAGTGTCATCCCATATCTTTAAAATCCAATCGGCAAAAGATTTGATTGATGGTCCATCAAGCTCACCCTCCATCCTTGCTAGCCTCATGTTTTTAGATAGTCTCACGGTACAAAAAGACAAGAGAAATGAGTTGTTTAGTGATGCGTGCACAATATCTTGTCTCGTGCCTTTTGGAACCACATGAAGTATCTCCCTAAAATCACCACCAAATACAATAGTCTTTCCACCAAAAGGCAAGCTCGCATCACAATGGCTGGAGTGTTTAAGAACATCTCTCATACTCCTATCAAGAGCATCAAAACAGTGTAAGTGTGTCATCGACGCCTCATCTCACATAATCAATCTGGATAACTAGATGAGCTTGGCCAATGGACTACCATGTTTTATGTTGCACATCGAGTCTTCTGTCATGTTGAGTGGAATCACAAATCTTGAATGTGCAGTCCTTTCTCCGAGCAAGAGAGGTGATGCTATACCGCTGGAAGCCACGTTAAACACAATATAACCACGAGATCTCACTGCTGCAGAAAAAGTCTCCCACAGATATGTTTTCCCAGTTCCTCCATTGTCATATAAAAAGTAGAAACCCCCATTTCTGCGATCTACAGATTTCATGATTTTGTCATACTCCTTTTGAGCTGTAAGGCCATTGTTTCTGTAGCTCCCAATCTTGAAGATCAATTCTCAACCAATGAGATCCAAGATATACCATTGTGAACGTCAGAAGGTGATAAAGTGTCTTGCATAAAAGAAGAAAATGATTAATGTTATCACATGGTCATAATGTTAATGCCAGAGAAAAATGAACCAACATTATAAATGAACAATTTACCATGCTAAGACAGTCATTTGGTTCATTTGTTGCTTTCTCGATCAGCTTACATGACACCTCATCTCACATGACTACTTCAGCAAAACGGTTACCATGTTTGACACTCAATTTCAACATGCATCTCCAAATACCTGCCTGTTTCACCTCTCGACAGTTGTAGACTTGTAGCAATAAAGTGACGCTCCCTAATATTTCAACTTCTTAAAGCAAGTCTTGGCATTGCATCCTAAATAAGCCCAATTCTTTAATGAGAGAATTGAATTAATATGAGCGTAAAACCATCAACACTTAACCCATATATCAAAGTGCTTCATAATTAGTTCCAATTTTTTAAAGGAAAAATTGAAAATAATAATCCCAACTATTGCCGGTCCGCTGAAAATAATCTCAACTATTGATTATTTTTGTATAATCCCAACTATATAGACTATCCGCCAATAATGGTCCATGACCATATATTACCTCTATAAAAAGTGAATTTTAAATAGAAATTAAGCGTAAAAATTAAAAGTTGAGAGTATTTATAGGGATTACTTGTTATATCTCATCTCATCCACTTTAGAAACTACAAGAATTTATTCATAGGGACCATTATTGGCGGAAGGTCCCTAAAGTTGGGATTATTCTGTAATAATCAATAGTTGGGATTATTATGAGCGGACCGCCAATAGTTGGGATTATTACTATCAATTTTTCCTTTTTTAAATGAGAGAATTAAACTAATTTTTATGTTGTTTATTAATTGTATCTTATCTTTTTTATTTTATTTTTTGATCTTGTTTTTATCATACCTTAAATTTTATCTATTTCTTTATTATTATTTTTTATCATTTTTACTCCTGTTTTATATGTTGATTCGTGTTAGGCTGTTAGCCAATTCCAAACTCTTCCAAAATCAAGACATGATGTTTTGTTAGTGTTGAAAATATTAACATATAGATTTTTTACATAGGTTACTCTATCTGCATATAGATTCATATACAGATAGTTATCTACAATAATCAATAATAAACAGGTAATTAAATACTGAATGAATTGAATATAATCACCAAAAAATAGTTTTGTTTAAAATTTAGCATAGAATTGATAACAGAAAATAGCCATAAATCTGCTCAAATGTAAAAAAAAAAGAACTCAGAGCCATTATTTTCTTAGATTCCACTAGTTAAAGATCAATGTTTTAACTTTCAGTACCAACTTCAATCTGAAAATGTATATATCTCAGAAAATGTAAGAACATTAACTTGAAAAGTAAGTTTATAGTTGAAAACTTGAGAAGCAAGTGCAACATCACATTTTTTTAATAACATATTTCGGAAATTATTTAAAAACATAGGTAAAGGTGTATCAAAAAAATAGATTAATATATACAATCTCTTTAATAAAAAACTTTCAGAAGCCAGGAAAATCATTTATTTCGAAAATGATTTCAAAAATACAGTTAAGTCTCAATAGCAGTCATAGAATATTGTATAACCTTATTATCCTCATCTATTTTGGGCTTGTGAATATTGAAAAGTATAGGAATAAGTGATCAAAAAAGCATTTTACAAAACGCTTTCTGAACCATACTGGTGAATATTATTATTTTTTAGAAGCATACTGGTGAATATTATCATTGTTAATGCATTCATATTTAGATAGTTTTTGTTTGAACTAATTGAGCAATAACCACGAAATAATATAAAATTTTACCTATTTAGCTGTCTCTAAATCAGAAAGAGACATGGTAAACCTGACATCAGTAATATCATCTCTCGGAGTAACACAAGATGAAGTTGTTTGGCTTGGAATACACTTGGTGGTTTGTCTTGAAGTCAAATACCTATATGTATTCATAATTTATAATATAAATATAAATCATAATTTGAACACATACAATTAAGTTACGAAGAACAAAGAAAAGGACCATTACCGACAGCGGAAATCCTCAATATCTGGAATATGTTCATCCAAAAATAACTTTGTAGCATACCATGAGAAAGCTATTCTAATCTTATCCCCTACATGTCGAAAATTTATACTTTAATGAGAATATAAACACTATTGCAAAGTATCAAATAGTTATGCACGCAGACGTATCATATCTTTAGTTTCTGCGACACGACTGAAGAATATATAAAATTGGATCTTATAAAGCAGCGGGCAAAAAATTCTCAACTTGAAGCACATATTCACCGAACACAGTACAACATAACACACTCTCGCCCCTGCACAATAGTACAATCAAAGCGTAAGTATAACAAGAAATTTAAATATTATGATAAATAATTCATAATTCATATATAATAGGCAAGAGATAGTTTAAAGGAAACTTAACTCCAAGTTTGTCAAACGGAAATCAGCATACCAATCACCTTTCTTTGTTTACTGCTTTATAATTTTTGAGCCAGATCATAAGCACCAATAATAAGGAAACAAAACCACAATTGCATATACGAATAGTATGTGTTTTAATTGAAAAAAGTAC